ACCGTCTCCTATACGGACGCTCTTTGCGCGCACACCAGGTCCTCGTTGTTCACCACGCTCCACATCCTGAGCAGCTCGTGCGCGCTCAGCTTGTGCACCACGATGAGGTCCTTGTAGAAGCACGGCTCCTTGTTCATGCGGCTCACCTTGTGCCGCGTGATGCCGAAGGTCCTGAAGCCCGCGTGCATCTCCGGGGCCACGCCGAGCTTCTTCAGGCACATCCCCAGGAACACGTCGTCTATGGGGTACAGCTCCACGTCCTCCGAGGCCGCGTGGAGCCTCCTGGCCAGCTGGGAGGACATGAGGAACCCCCCGCCCCCGACGTAGGCCGGGTACGGCTGGTCGTACAGCTCTTTGGGGATGTAGTATTTGCTCTGCCGGTTGCGGATGGGGATGGCCTTGGAGATGGTGTCCCCCACGAACAGCTCGGCCTCTCTGCGCTCCTCCACCCTGAAGCGGACGAGCTCCAGCAGGTTGCGCGTGTTCACGAACACGTCGTCGTCCCCCTTGAATATGAACCGCACCCCGGGGCAGTAGATGTGGAACCACTTGAGGAAGTTGACCTCCTTCAGGGTCAGGTTGAAGAACGTGTCCATGAAGTCCCACTGCAGGATGTCCTTGTAGATCACGTCCTCGTACTCGATCAGCTTCTGGAGGTTCTTGGTGTCCGCCGTCGGGGTTCCGAGCAGGAACAGGGTTCGGATCTTCTTCCCGTCCGCGGTGAGCTCTCGGCCCCAGGTTTTACGCACGGCCTCGCGCCGGTCGTGCTGCTCGATGACGGACTTGATGACCACGAGGAGGTGCACGTCTCCGTCCGCGCACTTCTCCGGGTGGTTGATGAGCATGGGGAAGTACCTGCAGTGTCTGTGCAGCACGAACTGGTGGAACCGCGGGTCCAGGCGTCGGAACCAGTCCTGGCTCTTCACCGAGGCGTCCTCGCTGCAGTTGAGAACCTGTGCGTCCCAGGAGCCCGGAGCCTCTCTCACCTGCTGCTGCTGCTGCGGGTCCTGGTCGTCGCCCGGACCCGGGGTCTCTGTGCTCCAGAAGTTGCTTTGGACGACCCTCTCCTTTGAGAAGCACTCCGAGCCGCACCTGCTCATGTACTTCTCTGATAGCTTCAGCTTCTGGATCATCAGGAAAGACGCGAAGACCAGACACAGACTCAGCAGGGACTTCAGCAGGCCGCCCCGCTTCCTCCGGAGAAAGTGATCCATGGCTGTCACCGTGGCGCCCGGGGACCCTCGGATGCCGGAGCCTTCATAGCGTTTCAGAACCGAAGCCGCCGCTTGTTCCCTCCTTGCTCCCGGGGGCCACTTTAACCCATGACGGCGCTCATTGTTGGCACACACCTGCGTTTCTTCTCCGAGAAATAAAGGGACCCACAGTCCCAGCCCACCCTGTCCTCGGGACCTCTTCCCCCTCTTCTTTTCTGTCTCAGTCTGCACAGACTTGAGACCTGCTGCAAGATAACACCGCCTCACATCCCCGCAGATCCCCTCCTCCTGGTGATTCACACTGATCCAGGACCAGTGCGCGCCCACATCTAAAACAAAACAAAACAAACAAACATCAAGTGTCTATCTCATGATGATATTTATTTGCGTCAATGCGCACATTCTTTTGGTGCTTAAAATGAAAGTTAAACTATAATCATGTAATTCTAGAGACATTACAGAAATCAATAACAGCTTTAAAACAATCAATTCACCACGATTTTTTTCCTTTTAAAAAGTAATTGAAACAACTATTTAAGCTACAGTTTAGCAGTTTATTTCAATGTTGAGATTATTGATCTGCTCCCTCTGGCTGTGTGTTTGGAGGCTTGGTAAAGGCTACAGAATGAATTTAAGTCTAATCAGATGCCCTCCTGACTGTAACGTGAGATTAGGATCTAAACCTTTCTTTGGTTCACAATGGTTAAAAGGCAAGGATATCTGAAAGACAGTTAGTTTAGTCTAGGGCCTGTTGAGTTCCTGAATGGGTTAGGGTTAAGGTTTGAAATAGTGTCTGTGAAGTAGTCTGTTATGTTAAGTTACTTTTTTTTTTTATTTTTAAACATTATGTGTTTTCAGTGTTTCCACTTTAGTAAGGATAATTTGCTGTACTTCACCTAATTTCCCTCTGGGATCAATAAAGTATTTTTGAATTAACAACTAAAAGAATGTCACAACTATGTAACAGAAAAGACTCATAATTAAACAAAAAAATAAATAAATAACAAAACAAGCAAAAACTTACATTTAAAAAGAAGACTCAACATAAGAAAATTCAATTCAATTCAAAAATACTTTATTGATCCCAGAGGGAAATTAGTTGAAGTACAACAAATTATCCTTACTAAAGTGGATATTACAGTGTATATATA